TAAGAGGCTACTTCTTGGTGGTCTTCCCCTTGTCGGCTGAAACCTTCTTGGGAACGACCTTCTCACCGTCTTCCCCGTCGTCGGCCTCAGCCTTATCCCCCTCGTCATCGTCTTCGTCGTCTTCCTCCGGTTTGTACTCGTCCTCGTCGTCGTCTTCGTCGTCGCTCCCAGCTTCTTCGTCGTCGTCGGCACTCGAAGAGTCGGCAGTAGCAGCGGTCACGATCGTGGCAGTTGGAACGGCAGCTTCGGCCTCGTCTTCTTCGTCCTCTTCGTTCTCTTCGAGATCCGACCATTCGGCACGTCGGCGTTCTGTCTTGGTCGGTCCCCTAACTTGGGGGAACTGGTACGAGCCACTCTCCAACTCGGTTGCGACAGTCAGCTGGGTTTGCTTCACCAGGGCGTTGTCCATAAGGGTCTTCCAAGGCTCGTCACTAGTGGACCCCACCCAGGTGTCACGAGGCGTCGCCGAGGACTGAATATCAAGCCGAATGCGCGCCAAAGCCACCATGGAGAGTCGATTGGCCGGCTTGGCCGTAGGGACCAAGGCCTCGGTCGTCTCTAAAAGGACGCGGATACTCGGATACCCATACGCGTCGATCTGCACGGGCTCTAGAGCGTTGTCGATGATAGCCTGGTATCGTTTCGGATCCTTATCTTCGAGCGAAGTTAACGTGTCTACGAGAGGTCCGTCGTAGTGCAGGCACTTCTTGTTGTCGCGACCGGTCTGACCTCCCATTCAGAACATCAGGGCGCACTTGTCGAGGAGCGTGAGAAATCCGTAGAAGCCCCAATTTTCAATGCACAAACTGAGGAAGGCTACACGAGCCTGTACGGCGCGCATCTTGGCCTTTCGACGATTATTCTGCGCCGTCTCCGACGCCAGAGGCGCGTACAGGGCCCATTCCCAGAACGCCCGACGGTGAGACATCCAGAAGCGCCAATGACCCCGATAGATCGCGCGGAAACGAAGCGGGTTGTACCACTGCGGACGCCCAGTCCAAGGATAAGCGATACACCAAGGCTTCTTTCTGGCCGCCTCCGCCTTGGCCAAGATGAAGTAGACGGTAGCTTTTACTGCGTCAGGGGCGTCGAGGATTAAGTCGACCAGCGCCTTGTACTCGGGAGAAGGAACGAGCGAAGACGTCGGCTTGTCTGGCTTGTCACTGCTCCGCAGCTTCTTAGACGACTTGATTGGGGGTGGCCCGTTGCGAGTTTTCTGCTTACCGCGAACAGGCTTCTTTGCCGACGAAGTGGAGGAGGAGGTAGAAGATTTAGCAGGCGTGGACGACTCGGGCGAGACTCCCGACGCTGACGGCATCGCAACCACGGGACCGCGCAATGCGATGGAGGGTCGACCTTCCAGGAGATCGTCGACCAACCGCTCCATGTGCTCCAGACCAGTGGAGAGGCCGTTGCCGCCCAGGTACGCCTTCAACGCGTCCCAGAACTCCCGCTTGATGGTCTTAGCGTCGCCCCCTGGCGTTCCAAAAAAAAGTTCGTCGTACTCTAGGGCCGCGTCAAAGAATCGCTTGAATTGCCAGCGCTCCGCGACAGTGAGGCGCTTGGCCATGCTGGCAGCTGAGAAGTTGTAGCTGGGAGGTGTTCAACGTGGAGATTGTTGGAAACTAAAAGATGCGTCGCATTGGCTCAGATGGTGGCTGACGGACGTTGGAAATAGGACGCCCGCAACAGGGTGCAAAAATGGAACGAGATGAAAGGAAACGACTCGGGTGACACTGACGCCACTTGGGAAGGGGTGTCATCGGACGACGCCAGGATGACCTCTCCTAACTGACGCGGCGCCAGTCTGAAATGATGGAAGTACTGAGGAGCTGGTTTGATGGAGTCGAAGCGGCGGCTCCTGTCGTGACGTTCCCTGAAATCGAAACAGGAGCTACGGTGGTCTGCGCCGTAGCTGGGATAGTAGTGTGGGTGGCCACGACGCCTTTACGCAATGTGGGATGGGCTTTCAGTGCGAGCCTGGTGGACGGTGGCTCCACCATCTGTTTCTTCTGGTATACTTGTAGCAACCGATTTGTCACTACCGTCCGTGGAGCCAACGCTCAAGAGCTGCACCCTAGAGAATATGCGTGCACTTTGGTCACGCTGATGTTCCTCGTTCCCATGGCTGTGTTACGAAAGTATGAACCCCGCTTCGGCATTTTCGGACTGTCGTGTCTCAGATGGTGTGAGGCGTGGCACCACTCGATCTGTCTCTTCGTTCCAGATGTGATACAACTTGTGTGGACGTCGTGCTGTCGTTACACTAAGGCGATAGCTGAGGCTACGATAGCCTCGATCGATCGAGTGGGCGATTGCCTGATGGGCGTGTGTCTAGTGGGACATCTGTTATTGTCGCTTGTGTTTTACCTGCCTTGAGTATTTTACGAAGGCGTGGAAGGTGCCCTATGTGGTTGGATAAGTGTTGCCTTAGCTACCCTAGTGGTGGACGTGGTACTGGAATTCTCGGTCGCGAGTCTCATTGGGAACGTGTTCGTCTTGATACTGGGCTGTTATAGCCACGCTACGAGGTACTACTGGGCGTCGCGAGTGAAGGCTGTCGACGGCTCTGGAATTGAGGCCGCACAAAAAGGGTTGGGCTCAGCTCGAAAGTCGGAAGGAGCTACGGGAAAGGAGAGAGAGAGCTAGCCTCGACCATTTGCGTGCAGGTCCTAATGGTACGACCTCGGTGGTGCAGGAAAATTCGGATTCGACTTCGATTGGAACGAGGTCAATCGTTCCGGATCTGCCGGTCGACTCGGCGATTGAACCTGCTGGAAACGATGAGGCTCGACGAGGACTCCGAGCGGCAGTCGGGGAGAAATGTCACGGTCTTCGTCTAGAGGAAGGACTCGCTATTCTGGACGACTGTCTACGGCAATTTAGCGAGCGGCGTAAGAAGAGTGTCAGGCCCGATCAGCCTCGTTCCGCGTCGCCGACTACCTCGTCCCTAGTCTAAGATGGAACGAAGGAGTCCAGACAGCGGTACGCTGACTCCGTTTACGAACGATAACTAGAGGTACTGGTGTTGGTAGGAGGTATTTTAGCAAGTTAGAGAGCTGGTGAGAGAGCCCTCAGTCGTAAATTTCCTTCTTTTACGAGAAGTGCTTAAAAAAACAAATAAGAAACAAGTATATTTTACACATCTAATACGTCTAAGTTCCTACGTCGGCTTTCACAAGATACACGACCCTGACAAGAGAAGGAGACCGCGACATTATTTTGATTGGTCTATTTTCACTATTGCAATAGGGTCTGTGACCATTGTTTTTCAGACCGAAGAGAGTAAAAAATTCACTCGTAATGTTGTAATTTTGCAGTATATATAAGCTGTTCGCTGCCTATGTTAGTATGGCTTATAAATGTGCCGATGGTTTAATTAAAATATGTGGTCGAAGTCCGCCTTTCAATCATTCCAAATGATACCCACATGGCGAGAGGTCCGTTGAGACGCATGGTTGAATAGTTACGGCGCGAGACCTTTACACTAATACTCGTCCAGATCGACTCTTGACAAAACGTTTTAATATCGTTTTTCTATTTTACATGTTGCAAAGTTAAGCAGCCAAACACAGTTTTCTCAAGCGATTAAATTATCGTTTTTAAACTTGCGTGAAGCTATACTCTCTATATTTTCGAGCAATTAGCCGATAAAGGTGTATAAAGCCGTCTGGCACTATGCAGATACTGCCGGAACCCCACTCGGTCAAACCTATGCTGCGAAGCAAAACGTCTCCATACCGCGCACCTAACAAATGGTTTCGAGGACGTAGAGATGTACGCCTACGCAAGATGGGTTCAACATTCCCGAGTCTACGAGGGATCAATTAGTGACCGCGACTAAGAAGGGAGATTTTTGGAGTGGACGAACATAGTTCTAGATGGGCGCAAGTCACGCAAGTCACACCATCCCCAAGATAAAATGAGCGATATAATGATGATGTTGATGATTTGGCGCTCTCACCATCTGGCTCAGAGCAGGAGGTTTTGAACGCATAGCAAAACATCGCTCTGCATATGCAGCGAAGACAGTCTGCAACTGTAAATAGCAAACAATTAGGGTAATCACACTGATCCATTTACCGGAGGACTCATTGGGTATAGATAGAGCGCGTTAAGCGCGTCAGGTGCAAGTAAGATGTTCATTAGTTGGCCATTCTGCGTGGGTGCCTCAGGTGACTATATATTATACATCACCTGAATATCTACTGCATTCGGTTCACGCCAACTATAGTGTAAGCTTTAGTTTCCAGCAAATTAATGCTTCGATTCATGCTTCGCGCGATAGAAAGTAATTATTGAAGGTAGCTGAATTTGCACTATGGTGTGGCCAGCGCGCCACCGAATTGCAATCCTATCGAAAAAATATGGTCCGCAATGACCACCGCGTATGGACGTCCATACCGCAACACGACGGAGCTAGACGAGGCAAATCTTGCAGCCTGGGATGCTATTGAGCTAGCCAATGTTCAAGTTCACCCTATCTTTTTTGATATATTGCGAATGGAGACGCTGTTGACGCGTAAATTGACAACTCACCAGCACTCTTGCCTACTGAGAGCCTCGCGGCAGCCCATTCGAAAATGAAAGGCCTCCGCGCTTCGAGCGTTTAAGTAATGAAAAGTGGCCTCCAGCGCAGTGACCATCATTTTTCTGAGATAATATATATATATAGTGCCTCATAGAAGTATCAGGTACTTGAATTGATTTGTACACCAGCCGTAACAAAGGCATTGTAATCTTAGCTGCTAACACAAACCCATTCATTGTACATGCATGCCTTTTACAAACGACATACTGTAGAAATTTCGGCCGTTTGTGCAACTTGGCTTCCAACCCTATTTTTAATGGTTAACCCTAGTGTTGATGACTGTGTTGAAGTGCACAAAGCGGTAACTACACACGCAGAGTAGGATGGCCGCCATTCTTACGATCCGCATGGAGGGCCACCAAGATACTTGACACTGAGAGATGCCTACCATAGCCTGAATATACCTTGTCTATCGCTGCGTCACTGGTAAAACCTGAGCGCACCAACAACAGCGTATCAACTTGTTTACAGCGTCAGAGCGAGTGGGGTTCCCACGCTCGGTCACAGGGTCCCTGGACGTATTGACCCGCGGCATAAATGAAGAAAGTGCTTTCTTGATGAATTCAAGCGTACTTGAGTGCCAATAGACGGGCTTCATGTCTTCAGTTGGTTCGGGGTCACCGTACGCTTGTTGGTGCATCCAGTGGCACAAATGGCCAGGTGTTACTTGAAGAAGCTCTGCTGTCGTGAAGACGCGATCGTTGCTGTACGTGACGCCGTCTTTAAACGACATGAACCTCGTGAGCTCTCGATTGTACTGGCTTGTCATAGTGCTGGGGCTTGTGGCGTTCTTTTCTTTCTTTGCAAACTTCTGGCTTGATCTTACTTGGATTTTAATATCTGGTTCTACACTAAGTACGTTTGCAACCTGACTTGATTTTTATCAGATTGGGTTGCAAAACTGACCTGAACCTGCCACCGTGTGAACAACTCAAGTTGCAATCACCACCCCACCGTTTCGCGCTGTGCAAGGCACAATTGTGGTCTATACGCTACGCGCAGCCAATCAGAGATCAGGATTTTCAAAAATACAGCCTTGGTTGCAAATGGCCGATAATGTACATGTATCCCATACTGTCCAGAAAATTGAACCCCCAATAAGGGGTCCTGTAGATTTGGCACGCACTCTGAAATACCAGTTTGTTTGAAAAAATTTATGCTGTCAATTTATTACTTGTTTTGTTTTTTAAATTTGCTTAAAACAAATTTAAATACTTTGTACCGGTTTTAATTCTGTTTGAATATTTTCATTTTTTTAAGTTTTGTATTGCCTGACTCTTTCGCAGGCGAGCCCATTGGTAAATGCCAGTAGAAATACATATATTCAGCTTGATGGCCCATTGGTAAATGCCAGTAGAAATACATCTATTCAGCTTGATGCACGCGATCATGAGCTGCTTTAGTGCTCAAGCTTCAAAGTGCCGGTGGTGTTTGCATTGCTTGATTCCTGGATTCTGTATGTGACCCCATCACGGCGTCAATCAAGGTTGCATCCAAACCATGTTTTAGCAGCCATGACGAGAATGGAAGGGTATGTGATTTCATTTTGCAACCTCTGAATAGAAATGCATTTTTGCAAGTGATGTAGGCCACACCAACCGTTAGCTTTCGATTCGACAGGTTTCTCCGGCTACAACTCCCCTCCCGCACTTTTTTCCGAGCCCAAACCAGACTTTGTCAAGCAGAGGAAGCGCCGACCCCCACAACCGCACGACCGCGCGCAAGGCTTGCAGCTCCTGTCGCCACAGCTCCTTTCCTCTCCTCGCGAGTAAGAAGAATCGCGTCGCCATGTCAAGTCGGAGACCGTCTTCGCGTACGTCATCAGTTGCCGCTTGCAAGTGGAAAAAAACTGGCAAACAGTGTCCTAACCTCCTTTCCACCTTTTTGCCACTTCAGGCGTCACGAGTCAGAGTCAGCACTCGAATGGCAAAATGCGCATCAAGGCAAAGCGGCGATTCCTGCTCAAGGTGACGCCCATCGAGGCCTGGGACCTGCTCCCCGCTGAGTCGGGCCGTGCGCGCAACTCCTACTGCACTCTGGTGTTGTTAGACGAGAATAAGCGCGAGATTAAGGGCGAAAAGCAGCGCACGCCGCCCATGCGTAACTCAAATCCGGTATGGAGTCCGCTTAAAGCCGCCGTACTGCGCTCGCTCGAGAGCAGCGTCGAGTCGCACCAGCCTTTGGGGATTGGCGCCGCTGCCGCCTCGGAGGAGTACACGTTTGGCATCCAGACAAACCTGATGAACGCCAAGTATGTGCTTGTCAAATGCAAAGACAAGGGGCGCGTCGAGAATGATGATCTGGGGCGGCTGTTGCTCAGTCTCGAAGACATGAACACGAGTGGCGAAGAGCGGGTGGCGTGGTACGACCTGCAGCTGCGTCCTAGTAGCAAAATGAAGCGGGTGCAAGGCAAAGTGCGAATTTCCAGTCGCATCGTGCGTGAACCCAGTTTGTGGCAACTTTGGACAGCTGCGGAGCAAATGAGACAAGAATTGCCTGCCAAAGACCGCAGTTTGTACCTAAAACCGCACCCAAATGTCATTACCGGTAAAGAGGCGGTAGAATGGATGTTGTGTCACGGCCTGAACCGCCCCATGCAGGGCGGCGTCACGTGCTCCACAGCCGAAGAAGCGTTGCTGTTGGGCACGGCACTTCTCCGAAATGGAGTCATGCTCCACGTCTCCGGAGATCGGAGATTTACCAACAGCACATGGAAATATTACCGGTTTACGGTCAACCACTTGGACTCGGTAGTGCAACAGGAGGCAATTCGTCAGCGTGATATGATCCTCTCGGGTGAAGCAGAAGAGGTGGAGGATACGGAGGAAGAAGTGCTGACACGCTCCATGATGGCTGCATCGGTGAGCAATGAAGAGGAGTACGGTCTAGGCGCGTCACGTGTTGCCAGAGGGTCTGGCGCCACGGCCCCGGCACCTGCTGGGGACTCGAATAAAGGCAAATCCAAGTCGACAATAAAGATTGAAGACTTTGAACTGCTCAAGGTGCTGGGCACTGGGACGTACGGCCGCGTGCTGTCAGCCCGTGGACCCGATGGAAACGTCTACGCCATTAAGATCATCACAAAGATTGGTATGGACGACAACATGCGTCGCAACGCCAAGATCGAACGCGATATGTTGCGTGAAGTGCGTCATCCGTTCGTGGCTTCGTTGCTGTTTGCGTTCCAGAATGAAGATAAGGTGTACATGGGGATGGAGTTTTATAATGGCGGCGACTTGCGTCATCACTTTACGATGAACCAGAACGACGAGCTTAAACTCACAGCTGGACGCATCAAGTTGTATGCTGCTGAGTTGGTGGCGGGGCTGGCACATTTGCACAGTCTAGATATTATCTACCGCGACCTCAAGCCCGAGAATATTCTTATTCAGAAGGATGGCCACATCGTCCTGGTGGATTTCGGGTTATCAACCTACGCGCGTGATGAGAACGATAAAAAGGCCCATTCTCTGGCTGGGTCCCCAGAATACATCTCGCCTGAGGTTCTAGCTGCTGCAAACCCGAAGAAAGGAGAACCCCCAGCTACGTACGACAACACCTGTGATTGGTGGAGTCTGGGTATCCTCATCTTCGAAATGTACGTGGGACGTACACCGTTCAAGGACGATAACAAGGCCATTATGTACCGCAACATTGCCGAGGGATTCCTGTACATTCCGCCAGAGCTGCCGGAGGATGTCCAGTCGCTTCTTGCTGGTTTGATCGAGCGCGATCCGTCCAAACGTCTGGGAGCCAATGAGGCGGTGCCGTTCTCTATTATGAAGCACTCGTTCTTCGAGGGAATTGATTGGGAGGCCTTGCAACAGAAGAAAATTGATCCGGAGTGGGTGCCCGATGTGATCGACGATGCTGACGCTAAGTATGTGGACAATGAGTTTATCAACCAAGTGCCAGTGGACACACCCGAGTGGCGCATGCTCGACTCGGTGGATCGCGAGCGAGAGTACTTTGAGGACTTTACGTATCGTGCCACACGGGTCATTCAAAAGTGAGGGAAGACAAGCTACAGGTTCAACTCTCATAAATGATGCTAATATGGCGTGATAGATTTCTCAATCTCCCACTTTTGCTTCATAGAGATGTAGTATGGAATTATATTTTCTGTCTTAGCTAATACTACTAGTAGTATTTCAAACGATTTGGATGATATTTCTAAACAAGAACAACTCTCGAAAACTGATACCTGTCTGAAAGGCCGGTAAATGAGGGCAATAAGTATTCTCAGGCACGTGGGACACTGAGTACTTGTAGGATTTTACAAACTATTGTGTATGCGAGAACACTTCAGATGACAGTAAGCTAGCAGGCGACACGCGCCATGCAGTCCCTATTGAGACCCATAGCACTCAGGTTTTCGATGAGGTTCCTAATACCCCAACCGCCATTGCTCATACCCAACTGGAATTTTGGACAAACAGAAACCACCACAAAAGCGTAACAAGCTGTGTAATTTGATGTACCGCATAGAAAGCCAAGCAGACTTTTGTCCTGGCGCACATTGTCCTCAAAAACGTTTATATTAAAAGCTCACCACTGTTACTAGACAATCTGGAACTATCCTAGGATTATGGAGTCAATCCAGGGTTGCTTCTCCTTGGACCCCAGAGCTAAGTCTTAGAGCATCTTAAAATATTCTCTAGTTTTGGCTTTTAATATTCCGGATTTTTGTAAATTTCTTGCTTCAACTCCAAAACCTACTGCAGTAAAACGAAGGGGTGATTCAGCTAGGCAGATGCTGAGGCTCAAAGCAGACGCAGGAGATGCATCACTGCAGGAAATTCCAGCATTCACAATGTTAATATCTTTTATCTACCTAATGGGTAGAGTCGTTAACATTGAGAACGAAGAAATAATGATAAATGTCATAGCTTTTCGTCGGGCGAAGCTCGACTTTGTAACTGTATTGTGAATAAAGGCCTACAATACTTTGTATGCCCTCGACGTAAGCGCTATATCTGTGGATTGTCATAGACCATTCTTTTTGCTAAAATGACACAATGATGTTGTCTAATACCAAGTTTGCATCGAGCTTTCGACGTAACTATTTAAAAGATAGCCGTAACCACTGCCATTAATTTTTCCAGCGAATATGGGTGACGCGTGAGCCACTTCTTCAGATGCTCCCTGCGAGTCGATAGCCCTCTTTCCTCAGCTTCGTCGGACTTAATCGTTTCCTTAGTCGCTGTGTCAATCGACACATCGTTTTTGCTGATGACTTGCAAATTGCTCGTGTCCATGCTGTTGTGTGGCTGTGACGAGCTCCGAATGTTGTCGTGTGGGATTGTCTTGGAAGGTGCTGCTACCGTAATGCTAGTCGCTAAGGCGATGCATACCACGAGAGAAATGATCCGTTTTCCGAGCATACCTGATCATGCTGAAGGGTTTGAAGGAAAAACTGACACTACAGTCAAATATTTTGCTGAAACCCAGAAGAGATCGTACGCATTTACGTCACAATACCTAGTTTATCATCATATGGTTTCACAACATACACACGAACTCTAACTCAACCTGCTGACTCGCGTGCAAGCTCAGCATACTGTTGGTTTGTAACTACAGTAATCGAGGTAAAATCAATAAACAGTCCATTGTCTCGCAATCACCATACAAAGTTTATTGTCTTAATCACATTGCCCTCCCCCCCCTCCTATAGTCGCCACCGCTGGCATTTGATAACCCGTACGAAACTATCATTTTATTTTGAGAGCATCACATGCTTAGCTGCTGCAGATCTTTTGGCTCTGGATTCTGAGAAGGCGAATACGGGAGGGAGGGGCACGACTGCACAGTGCAGTCGTGCAGTGCAGTCTGCACTGGAGTATTATTAAAGACTGTAATTGTGGTAGGCGATACTGGAATCAGATTTCAACTTCAAATCGTATTTCGTTTTCTTTTGGGCTCTCGCTCCTACAGTAAACAGAAAGCGAAATTGGAATCCAATTAATATTAATATAATAGCTCAGCTTGCATTCGATTTTTTTGGCTTTTCCTAAGCAGCTGGTCCGGCCTGCTTGGCACTGGTTTCCTGTTCAAAAGACCCCAAGAAGCTGAAAATTCAGCTAGTAGCACATGTCATATCATGTACGAAACTCGAACTGGAACCGTCTTAAATATAATACGGGTAGTACGATTTGAAGTTGAGCCGTTCGAGTATCGTACATGGCGATCGCTCTGTATGCATTGGACCGAGTGCGAGTGATTAACGCAACTAAAAAAAAGACTGACATTATGAAATGTTACCTAACGAAATACCTAAGCTGATACAGTACTCATGTAAATTAAAGCCTAGATCAGCAGATGCCTACTCAAAATCAGGGTAATGTAGCCAGAATTATCGAGTACCAGTAGCAGAGTTGCTACTAGTAGGCTCTTTACTTAAACCGTTTACTGTTTGTGCATAGATAAGGGCCGGGTCTACCAGCATTTATATGTACATGCTGCCAGCATGTAACCTCCTGGTTTTAAGACGAAGCGGCCTGTAGCGAACCGAAAGTCCATTTTTCTAACTCGAGCTGGTTTGACTATATCGTCTTAAAGCCACTCATCAGGCTAATACTGTACAATTTAGTATTAGCAAAAGCCAAAAGGCTTAATAGATGATCGAACAATTGTGCTGGAAGAAAATTTGATAAGAACACAAATATTTAATAAACACAAACAATTGTGCACTACATGCGCACGTAACTTTTTTACAAGTATTACATTCGCCCGGCAAAGCACGAATCAGATCATTTTACATGCTACATGTGATAAAAGGTCACGCAGGGCATACTTTTTGGTTCTGTAACTGTTGATATGCACCGACTCTGCACGGTTCGGCTAACCGGCGTGACGTTCCAAACTGGACCGGTTTCAAACCGGTTAATCTGGTGGATGGCCAGGAGCACTGAAGTTTAGAGGACAGATTTAATTGACTTTAATCTACTCATTTCGGCATTTGCCTTTAACAACAACAACAGGTTAACAGCCGCAAACGCTCAACTCTACCGGAACGTTCCAAAACATGACGACGACCAAGCGCGCCGAAGTCCTCCTCGGGAGTGGGAACTACTTCCACTGGGAGTACAATATGCGCATGACGCTAGCCAGGAAGGGCCTGCTTGCGCATATTCATGCCGTCAAGCCGGAGAACGAGATCACCGAGGCGTGGCTCGTCAATGATGACAAGGCGCTCGGCATCATCGCCCAGGGAGTGGAGCTCCAGCATCAGAACAAGATTCGGTCGGCCACTCGTTCCATAGAAGCTTGGGGAACGTTGCGAGAGTTTTATAACCGCACCACGCTCAACAACCGCGTGACGATGACGCGTCGCCTCCACGAGTTCAAGATGGAGAGTGGATCGACTATGGCCAAGCATCTGGATGCGTTTGATGAGTTGATCGTCGGGTTGCAGACGCTGGGAGAGCCCATGGACGAGGCACGCCAGCTGGTGGTGCTGCTGAGCAGCCTCCCCGATGAGTACGAGCTCATTTCATCTATCGTGGCAGAATGCCAAGGGTGTGACGCTCATCGAGGCCAAGATAAAGCTGTTGAAGGAGTACGAGCGACTCGAGAAGAAGGAAACCACGGGGAAGGCGTTCCAAGTGAATGGGAACGCAGGCAAGTTCCGGAACGGCCGAGGGAACGGTCAAAAACGGAACGATCGAAAATGGAACGGTCCGAAACGGAACGTCGGTTTCAAGGGCAAGTGTTTCAGCTGTGACCAAGTGGGGCACATGAAACGGGACTATCCTGCTGCGAAGAAGAGCAGTCAAGACGATGCAGTGTTTGCAGTTGGTGGGGAACGCTCGGCCGGGTGGCTGATTGATAGTGGTGCGACGTCGCACATGACCCCTCACCGGAACGACTTATTTGGATACGAGGCACTAGACAGCGGCATCAACGTGACGATTGCAGTGGTATGAAGCTGCGCGTCGCAGGAACTGGAACGGTCAAGTTGACTGGTTTGGACGGTAAACGCATCCGAATGGTAGACGTGCTCCACATTCCGGGGCTCGATAGACGGTTATTGTCGGTCGGGAAGCTCGCGGAACGAGGCATGAGCGTGGTGTTCCAGCATTCCAGTTGTGTGATTTGGGGACGGAACGCTGCGATAGCGTCAGGGAAGAAGGTCGGTAAGGCGTTCCTGCTGGACTGTCAGCAGGAGGAGGCACACTTCGTGCAATACGCCGGTCCTGACAGCGAGTGGGAGCTTTGGCACGCTCGCATGGGTCACCCGAACAAGGACGCGCTGACGAAGACTCAGCGTTCCACAATTGGTATCCCACATGTGAAAAATGGGAACGAGACTTTGTGCGGTGGATGTATGAAGGAAAAAGCAGACCGTCACGACGTTTCCGTCACGATCGCTAACGAGAACGACGCGTGTGTTGGAGCTAGTACACACGGACGTAATGGGCCCAATGAGAACGATCTCAAAGGGTGGTGCCAAATATGTTCTGACGTTCGTAGATGACTACTCGAGGTTTGTCGTTGCGTACTTTATGAAGAGCAAGAGCGAGGTGGGCAGCAAACTAAAGGAGTTCAAGGCATTGTACGAAACCCAGTGGGGGGAACGTCTAAAATGTCTTCGTTCCGATAATGGAACGGAGTTCGTGAACAAGACGGTTTTGGAACTATGCAAACGGAACGGTATCGTGCATCAGCGTAGCGTTCCATACAGCCCTCAGCAGAATGGAGTGGCGGAACGCATGAACCGTACCATCATGGAGAAGGCAAGAAGCATGCTGCACTACAAGTCTATGTCGACGCAGTGGTGGGCGGAAGCGGTTAGTACTGCAGTGTATCTCATCAGCCGTTCCACGAATACATCAAACTCTGATGTCACGCCGTACGAGCTGTCGTTCCAGGTGAAGCCCACGGATGGAACACCTACGTGTTTTTGGGTCACAAGGGTACGCTCATGTGGACGACGTGATGAGAACGAAGCTGGAACCCAAGAGCTTCAAGTGCACGTTCCTCGGGTACGCTGAGAACGTGAAAGGATATGGTGTGTACGACATGGATGCGTCGAAGGTCAAGGTGACACGGTCGGTCAAGCTGGACGAGCGTGAGGTGGGCGGAATCTATGACACGCAGTCGCCAGCTTCAGGAACGGTCATCCATGTGACGAGGAACGATGATACGATCGTTCCA